GAGAAATAACAATGTAACTCCAAAGATGGGAAAATGATTTTATGGTTTCCTCCAACTTTAACATATCAATGATGATGAATAAAATGTCAAAATAAACTTGAAACATTTAACTTGGTATGATCTATGGAGCTACATCAATCATAACAGAATATGGTCTGACTAAATAATTAACTAAGTTATACAAATAATAAATGAACTGATGTACAAAATTATTGGTGAGAATATTTTAAATTTTTTTCAAGTTCTATGTTTTCATTTTTTAGAAGTAATCTGTTCTTCATTATTAATACACGTGATTAGTATATAACGTATTCTTCAGTGATATTTTTGTAGTTGGATTGTGTATTTAATCGGTAAAGAAATGTAATTCTGATGTTTGTTTAGTCAAGTTAAGTAAATTTTTGTAAGTGAGCTAACTTTTATTTGTGTGATTAGAATTTAACACTGTACCATAGACTAAGTTGAATTGGATGAGCAAATATCTCTAGCAAAAATTGACTTACATATCTTTGCCAGAACGGTGATTATAAAGTGATCAAACATCGATATTAAGACTTTCCAAAGACGTAGACAGACCTATCTGTTGTCTGACCTGCGTAGGTGTGCGAACGTTGAAGGCAGCCAGTTTGAATAGTGCACGTGGTTTCAGAAAGATTGGTTCAGTATTCGTATTCGGTGGTAGCATACAATTTTTAGCCAGACAGTGACTCGAGAACGTTTAGATAGAGCCGAATTTCCACCATAGGCTAGCTGCTGTATACGTTGAAAAGTAAGGATAGACAGAGTGGGAATAAAAGAGAGTGAATAAATGATGTAGTAAATAATAATAATAATAATAATAATAATAATAATAATAATAATAATAATAATAATAATAATAATAATATTAATATTAATAATAATGTGAATCGTTCGATTATTAATCGGAGCAAAAAAGTATTTCCCATAATTATCGACAGCTCACCATATTTGTGTGAGGGCTGTGATACTACTCGGGTGCCCAGACCGAAGCAGGTGGTTTTCTTAGGGGAACACACTTCAGACCTTTGACCTAAAAGTCTAACCCATAAGGCTGATTGAATAAAATAAAATACAAAGTAGAGAAGCAGTGGAGTTATGGCTAATTACTGATCTGCCAAAACTTATCCAATAATTTATGAAGAAATATGTCATTATATTAGACAAATTTTGTTTTTATATTCAATTGCAAATGCAATCAATATATTATATAGCTCTTTTGTTTAGACGACTAATTTTAATAAAAGTCTGAATACAGTTTGAGATTTCAAGTCTCTAATAGATCAATAGACCTTTGAATGGAATGTGACGTGTTGTACACAAAAATAAGCACAGAGTTTCAGTATTATTATGTGAAAAATAACAGTGCTCTAACAACTAATAGATCAGTAGAGAGGTAGAAAAACTATTGCTTAGTACTAACATGAGTTTTGTAATTTTTGATATTGCATAACCTGAAAACACTTCACATCGAAAGGAAATTCACACAGCTCAACGTTTGATCTCGCAAGTTCGTTCCAGCACACTAACATTAAGTGAGGTCGTGGTAACACCATTTTCTCTCTCGTAAACAAACGTAGACGGAATCAAAAGTTTGACTAATTTCAAGTATGTTTTCCGAAGCCTCATCATACAGGCAACAAGCTAACATTTCGGATTATAAACGAACCCATATTACTTATTCACTTACTGACTTACGCCTGTTACTCTTCGTGGAGGAGCATGGGCCGCTCACCAGCATTTTCCACCCAACCTTGTCCTAGTCAATCCTTTCCGGCTCTTTTCAGTTGTTATTCATCATTTTCATATCTGCTTCTGTTTCCCGACGTGATGTGTTCTTCGACCTTCCTCTTTTCCGCTTCCCTTCAGGATTCCAAGTTAGCGCTTGTTTCGTGATGCAGTTTTGCGATTTCTGTAATGTATGTCCTATCCATTTCCATCATCCTTTCCTAATTTCCTCTTCAGCTGGAAGCTGGTTTGTTCTCTCCCTCAATAGGCTGTTGTTGATGGTATCCGGCCAATGGATGTTGAGTATCTTGCGAAGACAACTATTTATAAATACTTGTACTTTCTTGATGATGGTTGTAGTAGTCCTGCAAGTTTCAGCTCCATACGGTAGGACTGTCTTGGAGTTCGTATTGAAGATTCTGACTTTGTTATTGGTTGATAGTTGTTTTGTATTTCATATGTTCTTCAAATGTAGGAATGCGACCATCCTTCCATAATCCACGCCTTTAATTTTTCTGGTTAGCGTTTATTTAGCGAGTTAGTTTCTTAACCCCATGCTCAACCCTCCTCCTTTACCCGGGCTTGGGACCGGCAATAACCCTAGAAGAGCTACAGGCGGTGATGAGCGAACCCATCGGGACTCATTAACTACTTAAGTGATAATAAAAATAAAAATATTAATAATAATATACATATATCACTTCGAAACAGTAAGAATGAATAACTTTGCATTTGATTTCCACTTCAAACTTGTTACTCATTTTGAAAAGAGCAAGAACAAAGATTTTAGCAGAATAGCATGAATTCATTTTATTTCGTAGGTTCTCTTCAGCTGCTTACAACCTGTGATATTTAAAATTCATAATTACATAATGGGTTTAAATTGCTAACTGAGTATTGTAAATATATATTCTACAACATTAATTGTGACATCAGTTTCTGTCCAATTATTTACAAGAACGCGTTGGTTAAAACACTATTTTACAGGGCAGAAAAGATATGTACCACCGACAAACTGGAAGAAGAAATAATGAACGTAGAAAAATGTCTAAAAGAAAACTTTTATCCACAAAAGTTTATTGACAAATATAAAATGCCCAAGGAAAAGAAGACGGTAATAACTATGGTCAATAAAAAGCCAGTATATATAAATCTTAACTTTAAAGGTGATGACGTCGCACAAATTATCAACAAGAGACTGAATACAGCGCTAGCCAGAACTTATCCGGCTGCTAAACTTTTAATTCTCTATAAAACAACATGTTCAATGACCCAATCAAAGATCGACAAGCAACCCTTTCAGGTTACCGCCAACTGCATTTATAAATTTACGTGTACCTGCCAAAGCAGCTACATCGGCCGAACTGAAAGGAGAGCATATCTTAGATTCTTTGAAGATGTTCCAAAAAGTCTTAGAACAAGGGAAAGAAAGACTCTGAACAGTGCAATCACCAAACATCTCCTCGATACAGGACATCAGGTAGATACCTTACAATCCTTTAAGGTGATTAGTAAGCAGCCAAACTCCAGTCTTCTGAAGTTTACTGAAGCCATTGCCATCAGGCGTCAAAAACCTGACCTATGTATTCAAAAGGAGACGGTGGTTAATCTTTCCTTGCTTTGGTGACAAATATATTCCTTCACTGCACCTTAAAAAATAAAAAAACTCTTTTTCTTTCTTCTTTTTCCCTTGTTTTGCATTTATTACATCATTGACTTTATTTTATTTTTTCAACTATCTTTCAAATTAATAATCTTTCAACTGAACTCTACTCACTACATTCCTTCAATGTTATTCATTATGTAATCGATTGTTTCTAACCCACTTTTGAACTGTTGTCACAATTAATGTTGTAGAATATTCTCTCACATTAGGTATATATTTACAATACTCAGTTAGCAATTTAAACCCATTATGTAATTATGAATTTTAAATATCACAGGTTGTAAGCGGCTGAAGAGAACCTACGAAATAAAATGAATTCATGCTATTCTGCTAAAATCTTTGTTCTTACTCTTTTCAAAATGATAAAGGGAACTGTGTGTATGAAATTTCTCAAAAAACGCCTCCCTGAACTGTTATTCATTTGATGGATTTAAGGAAAGGAAGATGATAGTGGCTGTTGCCCATAATTTACAGTTTTTATCATCCAGAATGAAATAGGAAAGTGGAGTTTTCGCCTTAATCAAGTTGGAAGTTGATAGTTGTTAGGATTGTATCACCAAATCTATAAGGTACACAAGCAAGACTATAATTTATGGACGAAGCAATCAGTTATAAAAAAATAGGTCCTAGATTTTGACGCGAAATTCTCTCATCCATTTGGCAATATACCACTTTAACATTATTGCTGAAATCGGTTCGTGGCGTTTGAAGCAAACGGAACTGTTTTCCGATTCAGGAGTGAACAGGTTCAGGTACATCCATCTCGCAAGTCCCTAATTGGACGAAACGCGAGTCCTGTATCTCACTGCTAACCACCATCTATCTGTGCTTATTATACCTGTAACTTAAGGCAATATCGAGACAACCTGCACGAAATGCACATATGTTGAATGGAACTGACCAGTTGCAATTCCAAGCCTCCATATGAGGATTCAAAAAACAATGCGAAAATGGATTGTGTTAGTAATGGTAGAACATAAGTTACGCGCATCTCTTTGGTAAAACACTTTTTTTCTTTTAAAAAATATTAATTTCTACTATGTTATCATAGTGTCGTACAGATAGAGTTTTTCAAATGTGATAAACAAATCTGTCGGTGAGATTAGTCTAGAGTCGTACATAATGGCTTCATCAATTCTGAGAAGAAACCGAATCAAGCGGTATTTCTGTTGGATTTCAGTGGTCAAATAAAACCTCCAACTTTCACTAGAATAAATGACAGTCAATCAAAGTTTAGTAATTGTTTAATTGATCACGTCTTTTTGTTTTAACAACAAAACTGCTTTGAGATAATAATTTAAGTATCCAAAAATTTATTCAACCTACATAATATTGATTGTGAGCATAAAATGTAGTGAATCTGAGAGTAATTGAGATGTAGTTTTGTTTTTCTCAAAGAAAAATTGAATTTGCAAAAAGACAACATCGTTGTTTATCATTGAATACTTACTAAAAGAGGTTACAAATTAATTAAAACTGTTTGTTTTATCATCCACGTCACCCGTAAAATCTATATAAGTTGCTCTGTGAACATATTAATACCAAAACCTCAATGGAATTTGCTTCCGTTCTGCTTATTTTTAAGAAAATGTCGTTACTGCTTATTATTTTGTATTTGTTTCTCTTGAAGGAGAGACTTGTGGAATGTTTGGTAGCACAAAACTATGCCGTAATTTTGTATTCGATTCAATAATTGTTATTACAATTATTTAAAGAGTGACAGTGAAAATCTTAAACCTAATATACGTCGAAGAAGTGAATTCATCGTTGGTGAAAAATTCCGTGTCCGAGTGGTTCTGAGTGAAGATTTAAAAAACCATTTACAGTATGATTTATTCAAGGTTAGTCAACCATAAGAATGTTATTTGCAAATACATACACGTTTTGTATTTATACGATAGCTCAGTCGTTTGTAATTGTGCATTACATGCTTTTGTTCCAAGGTTAATTCATCATTTATAGCCCCATGTTACTCATTCTATATAAATTTTATCTACGTAATGCACCGAACATAAAATGTGCGATTACGTTTGTGGATACATTTCGGTCTAATATTTAACGCATTGTTTCACTTTTTATTGTTACACTTTTCAAAACTTGTACATGCATTCAAGAACATTAGGCTGTTTAAAACGTTAGTTATTACAACTGACTTCAAGGATTCTGACATATGCTCTTAAATACGATTTATGTATTGTTTCATGGTCATGCAATACATACCAACTAACTATCAAATTCGTGTTCTCACAGATGGAAGGTATAATTGAAGAAGTTGAAGTTTATAAGACATTTAATGGACAAATTATTTTATCTAAACACTGATCTCAGAACTGATAAAAATGTCAGGCCAGAAATACGGGAAAACTGCCTAAGCAAACGTAGTGTTATTTTTCGGACAATATTGTCTTCTTAAAACTACAACAGTAGATTACTACTATGCAAATATAATTCAGTCAGTCAGCTACAATGTAGGACCAGACGCACATATGTATCATTTCACATTGTCACCCCTCATAAGCACAAGACAGTGAACACCGAATTTATAGAAAGAGTTACTTCAATGGTATTAATATATAAAAAACATTGTGCATATTGACATAATACAAGAAGAAGCAACTAGTTCGCAAAACGAAAGATATTAGGCAGTTTTAATCTCACAGTTTAAGGGAAGACAGAGAGTGTATACAACTACTCCCTTGTGTTGGATTCTCAGCCATGTCACAGTCTCCAATTATTGGTTATGATAGTCATGCGGACCCCAACCAAGTAGTCTGCATCTACCAACATGGCTCAGAATACAGGTTAGTGACTTCAAGGACTGATCCCATCTTTTGGTTTGGCCACCCCTAACCTTCCTCCAACCATCCACAACACTAGTCAGCATTGCACATCGTGGTAATCGGTGTTCAGGCATACGTAACACAGGGCCCAACCATCTCAGTCGATGAAGATTCACGGTCTCATCAACTAATTTACTATCACTCCATAATACCTTGCATCTAACCTCACTATAACTTACCTGGTGAACCCAGCTGATACGGGACATATTTACGTGACATGTGACATGATCGAATATTAGTAACTTACGAGTATCTTCTACAAGTTTCGCAGCCGTAAAGTAGAACAGAACGAACTGTCGCACATTATAATCGCCCCTGAATTGATAGACCGATATCTCGCCCTCACGATGACTGACGAATTGGCAAAAGCCAAACGAGCTTTTGAGTCCATGAAGAGATTTCGTCAGACACCGACACATTTGGGTAGAACAGACTTCCAAGATAATTTAAGTCGTCGACGCATTCGACTACTTCATTCCCTATTCTTAGTTCATGTGTTCACACAGCCCAATCCTGAAGTAACGACGTGAATTTCAAAATAGGAAGAAACGCATCCCAAACGTCCTGGCATTATTGCTCAGTCCTACCAAAACACTCTGCATTTTATCAGCATCTTCGCCAAACAGGACTATATCATCTGCGTATTCTAAGTCGATCAGTGCACCTCCTGGTAGGAGATCTATTCCTTAAAATTCAGTCGACGAGGATACTATTTCCAGCAGTAGGTCTATAATCAAGTTGAAATAATGGAAATAGTGGACAACCTTGTTCGACGCCACCAGAGGTTGCAAAATCAGATGGTAGTTCGTCATAAGCTCTGACTCGACTAGTACGATATTCTAGGGTTTTACCCAAGGAGGCCGGCTGGCCGATTCGACACAGCGTGTGTACGTATTATAACGCTGACCATGAGCAATAGTCATAACACGAATGATAACACTAATTACTACTTGCCTCATACTTTGGTAGATCGTTAGCTGGATCGTATGTAATTGTATCAGGACGAGGTCTTGTATTAGGCTCATTAGTAGAACCAGAGTTCCCAATCGAATTATTGCCTCGATTACGACCAGCCCGGAGTAAACTCCAAAAAGTTGACAAATGACCCCACTGATCGGAATACCAATCATCAAGCAAATTGCTTGTCCGTCTGGCATGGTAGGACCTTGAGGATTTATTGTTCCAGTCAGTATAGCTCGACTGGTTCACCATGATAGGCAAGCCAGATCACCAAGCTAAGGTAGCAGGAAAGGCCGTAATTTGATAAGTGTATGATAAATATCAATACATTGAAAATCTGACACAAGTACATTACTATGAGTGTTTTCAAACGATAGGTGTCAGGTCTTTACCATAGAATGTGCATTGCACAATTTAGTCAACGATGTTACAGCTTGGGATTCGACAACACTTCAAATCCAGTATTAATTACGGTTAATAATTTATTCATCAATAAACCATGAGTTTAAATGACTAGTCGTCTATGACCATTTCAGTTCAGAATACTGATAGACTAATTTGGGTCACCGATTTCGTTACTCCACTTTGTCCTTCCTAAAAAATTATGAAACAGTTGAGAACCAATAAGATGTATGACTCATTGATCTGTGATAATCATTATTATGGAGTACTGAGAATCTCACCAAGATTAACAGTCATTGAATATTCGATAGTCTTCAAAACTAAACCTGTTTTCATCTTTTGTTTGATTGGAACACTTTTGTGAATTGCAGAGGCAGGTCAAAGATGCTTTGAAATTCTGGACAAAAGCAATACAACCGAAGCGAATCTCTACCCAACAAATATTAATAGAACGGTTAGTTTATTAACAGTCATACAAATTGGGTAATTTCCATGTTGTGATATTGTTAGGATTCTCTTTGTTGCAGTTGACCGGTCATCCTAAACATTTATACTGATGTGTGATGTGATGTTTGTTCAGAGAACAAACCACATATATCTTCTGTCTGTTCTCTTACGGAAGTAAACTTGTAGTGTATCAGGGTCACCACTTTATAATACCAACGCTAACATCATTGAAATTCATAAAACTCATCTGCATCTATGACACAAGCTATTTAGGATTTGTCAAACATGTCTTTCAATTAAGTTGACTAAATCAACAACATTTAGCAGTGTAGCGATGGTGGCAAAATTATAACGAAAATGCACTCTACTCCTCTACCAGTACGCGGGTCTCAATCGTTTCAATGCACCGTACATCTGCGAAGTAAAGTTGAACACTTCCCACGTTTTGTGAAGCCTTTTGAAAGATGCTAAGACATTTACTGGATGACTGGCGAACGTACAGTTTGTGAATAACCACTAAAATCTGGTTATTACCACACCTATTACAAAAAGAAACTAGGGCAACATATTTATACATTTCACTGAAACTAAGACATTGATGTTACAAATACTTTTGAATTTAGAGTGAACTGATAACAGCAATACAGCAATACAGAGCGCATTGTTCAACAGATTACTGTTGTCCATCAACAATTCATCTAGTGTGATAATGCGTCCAAGAACATTACCAGTCATCAGCTCGGTCAAATAGTTTACTGGGTGCTATCGGTCAGAGTGTGGAGGAAAGCCAGTGCTGATGCGATAAATTGCATTGTTGGGAGAGGATTCCATTCCTATAATTGTTTCATTCCCAATCACTGTGTTCTGAACTCTCTGCATAGTGTCAGGGCATTCATTAGGCAGACATCTCTTCACACCGTATATCCAGAGGTCGAGTGGTTACTAGGGAGAGAGTCAACCAGTGAAAACCCGAAATAAGGAGGTAGTGTTTCGAGAACATCTCTGACAGAAATGAATTAAGTTTGAGTAGAGTACAGCCTCGATATAAGCAACAGGTGGTTGTCAATGCAGATGGTAGCTGATCGTGTCCATTATTGTTTGAGCAACGAGAAGTTAGAAATTTATTGTGTTTTGGATACACCTCAGAGGTAAACAATGACACAAAACATTGTGGTCGACGGCGGTCGACTTCTTGAATGTGTCATTACACAATGATGTGCACTCAGAGTGATAAATAAACATTTCTTTTCCTGTCGTTTATTCTCCTTTCGAATACATTAGCAATTGCAATGAACGAGTTCGATCACAAATGCGGCCACAATATCATTACTGCAAAGGTGGTTGTAACAAAGTGTCGATATGTAACGGTTTTGAAATCCCCGAGAAGTATCTCCAGGTCAGTTGCCCAGTTGAAATAATTGAATATTTGTCGTACCTTAAACGTGGAGATTACATCTCATCCATCATCAGAAAACATCCAATTTAGTGTAGGCAATAATCAATTCCATCCTCAACAATCCTATGAAGAACATCAGTTATTACTTCACACGAAATATGAATGGCAAATAGTTTATAAGTTCTTGATTCGTTACCTCTAGGGTATTTTGTGAGTTCACAACACTCTAAATTGTCCGGGGAAAGTAAATCACGTCTCGATCAACGTTATTTCCAAAACATTACAGTGTAGTTAGCGTAAACCCAGATGCGGTAAATCTACTTATTACTTACACAGTTACCCTAATGAAATAGGAGAATCGTGCATTAAATACATTATTTGCACATCTTCCTTCAGTTTTCTTTCACATACTTTGTGATTCTTTAAATTCTGTCGCTGTTACATTGTTACTTGTTTGCCTTCCTGTTCTCTTCAATTCCATCTTGTGCTGGCAGGTATCCCACTTTCGACTGCTGCTAAATGCTACTTTTATCTGTTGGCATAGTTAGCATATACCACAACAGGATCACTTAAGGTTGAATATGAATTAACATGAAAGTTATTTCAGTTGGTGCCCAGTAGCATCCAGTAAGATACATTTCCGAGTGTCGTGAATTTTATGTGATAAAATTCTTGCTGCTAAACACGTACGCTAGGAAATCTCACTGCATCATACAGATAAATAACCGAACTGTCAAACTCGTCAGTGATCAATGTTATCGCTAGTCTGTTTCGGTGTGGTTAACTTTTCCATTAAATTTAATTATTACCGGGCAGTGATCATGTCATATACTGTATCATTTTCAACATCACTCTGCATATTTTTTTCTCCGTAATAATGCGAAACAGTTAATAATTGTTTTGAAAGCTAAGGGAACTCTGGGAGACACCCATACAGTGTCGCATGATGGACTGTCATTCTTAACACAAAGGTGATTTGTGCTCATTATCGAACATAGTTGAGGTACAGAGATTTTTTATCTAATTTAGATTCTATCAATCAACACTGGCTGAGGAAGTGAAGCTTCAGCGGTCGTGTTGTTAATCGGTATTTTAACTCGGTTATTTGGATTTTTCATGTACTATGAAGGTCACCCTTGAAAAAGGAAAACACTGATTTCCAGCTTCGAACAACTTTAAGTGTACATAATAATAATCATTGGATCAGCTGTGACAACAAAAGTAGCTTAAAACATTTCGAGCACAATTTTTACGTTTTGTCCTCTGACAACTTTATGCAAACCTTTCTAATGTTCCGACTCTATAGAAATGTCGTTCATCTGAAAAAGATGTTGTGGAAAAAGTCCAAGTCAAAAAGTCAGACAAAAGTGACTTTATTCTTTTTATCCGCTCGGGTGATTATGGACCTCACACATCGTTGGCTACAGCTGACACTTGTCAGCTGGATTTAGACACGAATAGGTAAGTAACAGATCGGTTGGTGTGTCAAAATTATTGTTTGCGTTCGGTTAAAATCTTATACTGAGACTAACTTATCCAAATTTTAGTACCACAGATGTTCTTGAATTTCCTGTTTCATATCATTCAAGTATCACAACGTCTTAATTGTCTACCGACAATACGGACAATTCGCTGCCAAGCGTAACAAACAAGTGCAATGATTACTTCACTACCTCTCAAAAACCAATATAATTCAGATAACATGCGAGTCAACGAATTAAACTAGTTCGTGGTCTCACAGATATCGTGGTAAACATTGAGATCAAAAATTTTACTTCATCAAACTCAGCGTCATATGCAGTACACTAGAACGAAAATTGCATTCTCTATTAGCTCTTCACTTGACAATTTTAACTAACAGATTTTCTGAACTGGCTACGATTATTCACTCATTGATTTTATACGGCCTTCGTCAGTGTTGATGAAACTTTAAATTGTGTGGCTTGATTTTGTGAAACAGGAAACACTTCTATACATATGGTTAGCATTTGAGCGAAACCATCACAACCATTCGTGATGCCAGTGATGTCCTGAGTTAGGATTTTTGAACGGTTCACTGAAAACGTCGTACAGTGTTGTGATGCAATTACCTGATCCGGTGGTGGGATGTTATCATGATCAGACATAAAAACTAGGATTGAAAAGAACAGTTGCATGTTTCTGATTCACTATGTACAGTTGCATTAGTTATATAGAAAACAATTTAGGAATCTTTCAATCACACGACAAAAATCTACTTGTTTTCAAAACACTGTTTCAGTCAAAATTTATTTGAAATTTATAAGTCGCTGCATCTTCCTTCTGACTTTTCATTATAAACTACCAATGCTCTGTGATACAATAGCTTCCGTTGTTACCGCAATTACCTTAAATGCTGTCAACTTTCCAATGATTCGAAAGCTTGTCAGTTATTATGATTTATGCCACTTATTATTTACATTATTCCGTGCCTAATAATTGCGATTGTATTATTTTTGTTTGTAAACAAGACCAATCGCCGGTTCAATTACAATTTTATCAGCTATGGAATCTATTGATCACAACCCAGGCGAATTGAAACGAGTTATTATTCATGAATTAGGACATACATTCGTGAGTGAAACAACTATTAATTACACAGTTTACTTATTCTTGTATTGTATTCTTGTAACGATGACCATTGAAGTCACTACACAATGTGCACAATGAAACAGTATTAATAAATTATCATTATCACCTTACTCACAGTTTCGGATAATTTCTCAGGTGTAGTAACCCGCGTGATTTGCAAGGACCTGCAAACTGAAGGACAATTTCACAGCTGTAGTTACATACCTTTGTTACGTTCCATTGTGTGCAACAGAACGTTTTGTTAAGAAAAGCATTGGGATGCTAACAGTCGTTAAACTTTCGTGAATTGATTTTAACAAACGATTGAATGCCTTTAAATTTATCGAAGAGATCAAGTGTATTGTTTTACTCCACTTTCGATGAGGATGTTAAGAAAATAGCAGAAAATAGCAATAATAAATAAAGTTACTTGACATATGCCTCTTAATGCCACTGTGAGACTCGTTCAAATGATTTCAATCAATAATAAAATATTATTTTTATTGAACAGGGCTTCGATTATCGGTTGTTTCCTTACCTACGTCATGATGATGGTAGTCCTAGAACAAGGCGTAACCAACATACTGGTGAACCGGAATTGCCAACAAATGCCAACGAAGGATTAAAAGCTGATCGGTAAGGAACATTTAAAACACTACTCGACTCTCTGTCTTAACATCTTGTGTTAACACAACACTGTCTTATTTAAAATACATAAAGCGATGAAGTTCCAAACTCTTTCTCGAATCCAACTCATAGAACACTTTCTACGTAATTATTGAAAATATTCCAGTTTCTTCAAATCATGCTCAACTTTTTCATCCGAACAGTTCGTTTATAGGGTAGATAAGTATTCCATTGCAAATTACTGGCATGAAGTAACTAATTCAATCAGCAACTGGATCATCAGTTGCTCATTGGCAATGAATCGACTCCATTATGAATGACAATCAATGAATCATGGAATGTAAATTTCCCATTCAATTCCCAAATTGTTCAGGGACTGCTCTCATTTGGCATGCGCAGTATTAAAAGCCAAATACCCATTTATATGTGAGAATTTCAGTTCAGGTATTTAAGTTAAGACAGACAGAGTCTATACAAGCAATATAACCTTTTATTATCTTAATACTACTCACATATCAGATCAAATGACTGACTTTTCAAAGTACATTTCAAACGTTGCAGTATCAATTTACTTATTGGAACCTTGTTTTCAGAAATACTATAAAATACGTGTCCAGGACATGGCATACAGTCGCCGGTGAGAAGACGTACAAGAGAGTCGCATTAACATTACCAAGTGTAGTCGTAAGTATATCATTGACTTTACACATATTTCACTGATTCTGTGATGTTTTATTGTGGTTTACTCCTAGAGCTTGTTTTATTGGCATATGAAGAGAGAAAATGTTTGTTAAATTGATTAATTTGTTCTCTCTCGCCTTAATTAGATAAATGTTATCAATGAATGTTTGGTTCAATATCATAAACAATTCACATCTATCGTAAATTTCCGATGGGAAATCAGGTGTCCTAACTGGAAATCATGAAAAATCAATTTACTTGTGCAAATATTATCATTATACTTTAACACATATATTAGCAATAGTGTGTAGAAAAACAATGGAATTCACGGTCAATCTACAAATCATAGAGTTCAGTGCCAAGTCAGTTCACTTTATACAGAGTTCGATCATTATGCCGATCAACACACTTCATTGTACTTATACAAACTGTTGTGTCTTACAGCCAACTAATACGCGTAGACGCGGAAAGAACGATGGAAACTGATACTCTATGCTTGGTGGTTCTCCCAATACTAACTAGCACTGAACGAGGAGGAAGTATAGAAGACCAACGACCACCAGTCCATACTTTTAAAACATTTTATTCATTCTTAGTAAATTATCACCGGTCATCCTTCGTTCGTGTATTTAAAGCTGTCCAAAAACTATCCGTACTGACCTTTGTACTGTATTTACATTGACACACACATATATGGACTGAAGGATTACTTATGTGTCTCTACCACCTCGTTCAATTCACACTTCAGTATGACTCTCATGCAACATTGGTAAGCAGTTGAACGTAACAGTCATTACTACAAATATATCTTAAAAGCACTACCATTTCAACATAAAATTACATGTTCCTTTAAATGAAGACTGTCGAATTGCAGTAGTTTTGTTGACTTCAACCAACCTGATCAATGTAGCCTCTTGATGTATATTTGACATTCAGACAAGAATCTAGATTAATTTATTGTTATCTTCTCTTCTTTCAAATAGAACTTTGCAAGAAATCATTTTCGATGCAATAAGCTTGATGCGGTTGATCTAGAATCGGATGGTGGCGATGGAAATAAACATTCACACTTCGAACGACGTCTGTCTATTGTAAGTTTACATTAAATTTAACAAATATCAAGTCATAAATATTCTCTCGAATGATTACTCCAACGTCAATTCTGTTTTAATTTTCAGGGTGAAGCTATGTCTGCTACTTGCGACATCATGGCGTCTGTTTCCGGTTTAACTCTCAGCTACTTCAAAGATACTGGGTAAAGTTCAAAACAGTGTGTTGTTGAGTATGTGAATATGTGTATCGATGGTGAAAATTTCGTTGTATTTTCTCACTATGTAACTATAAGCTTAAGACGGTGATAATTAAAATGTATTAGTTTCAAAGTTTTGTAAAATGTGAACTGTTACTGTCATACAGTCTTCCTATTCGTGATCTCATTCTGCTGCTTGTGTGAGAACGTTGATAAATATCAGGAAGATTTATTAATTAAACTCTAATCGTAAGTGTATGGACAACTTCCCATAAATATATGTCTATTGCTCCCGGGACATTAAAACAGGTTTCCGACCAATAGTGTGTATCGGTCTTCTTCGAAAGTCGAACGTTAACCCATAGGTTGCACCTGTCAGAAAATCTAACCTCTCACTTGGCCGATGACCGATCGACTGAGCGTATTCATTCATAATCATCTATATTTTCAGAGAGCCTCCTAGTCCTATAAACTATTCCATTGCACGATTTCTGAAAATGAAATTATCAGAATAATTGAAACTGAAATTAGGCATAACACTAATGTGCTGCTTAACTTCGTGATGACATTTCAATTAAATTCGCTACTTCGATTTTACACATCGTTCAAGTATTCATATAATCCTAGTAGACTGAACAAAAGATTACAATAATGAATAACAATTATGAGTTACTTTTAAATAATTATGTCCGATTAGCTGATCAACCTGATTTAGTTTGATTGTTATACCAGTTTGATCCGTTCACTGCATTATTTAAGCTTATAAATTGAACCAATTAAGATTATTGATTGTTAGGAGTTAATCGACAATTCCTGTCAGTGAATTCTTTGAACGGTCAGTAGATTATTATTATTATAAAATATGATGATGATGTTGATGATGATATCTATTAACTCTTCATCTTTCAGATGGTATAATGTAGATATTTCTATGGCTAAACCATGGGATTGGGGTCGTGGTCAAGGATGTGATTTTATTTTCAAAAGTTGTGGTGAATTCATTAAAAGGCAAGAATATAGACAAATATTGATATACCACATTTTCCTTTTTCTGGTGTGAGGTTTGTTAAACAGATACTTAAATTACTATCGTTGTCATCAATCATCTGTCGCGGTATATTACACACATAATTACCTATGGTCAATCTCAATCACAAGCATATAATTTTATTGTTTGTATTTCACTTTGCTGATACTAATTAGATAGAAGTTTTATAACTGCCTTTCATTCAAAACACGGTTGTAAACACAGATTTGATCTATTTCGTAAATAGTAAACTATCAAAACCACATAGCATTTGGAAGATCAAGGTCGTTGATGCATCAGTGTAGTTAATCTATGATTGAAAAAAATGTAAGTAACCTAGTTATTTTTACATGAGCTGTTGTTAGAGCAGTAAAATTCCTAAAACTTAACAATATCCTTTACTGATATGCGGCTCGTGAAAGTAAATATGACTGGCCACTGAGCATGAACTGAAAGACACTTATATTGACTACTTAACTTTTAATTTCCTTCCTACTATTGATTTCTATTGCGGACTGACCCAGTATAACTACCCGTAATTCCATTGATTAGAAAGTATTGTTAAATGTACTCTCTGATTTGTTTTATTAGGCATGAATATCTGGTATCTGGTATAATATGGTCATTATGTGTAGATAGTATCAATCGCGTATATGGTCTAATTGCTGTAAAATCTGAGCAAACAGTTGTGGTATCGTATCACAACGTACATAGTAGAAACAAGAATATACTTTTATTTCTGTCGTTATATCACTAACTGGCAAACACTGAATATAACTTGTATTAAATGAAATAATTTATAACACAAAACGATCTTTTTAAGTCGGTATCAATTGCTATTCTATATAAGTGTGGATGTCAAACTCTAGTTAGTGGGCGAAGTAAATGACAATAAGAAGTAGTCGCTTCTTTGTCATTGAAGTCGGAATTGCGAGTTATCAGCTTAGTTCATAAAATTCTTAGATGTTTTAAACAAATGTAAATAGTAAACGGCTGTGGTGTCATGAAACTTGATGACTGGTGCACATAATCATAACTAAACAGAAAATAACTAAAATCTGTCAGAAATCTTCGCTCTGAATTACGGTTTAATTACGTTCTAGACACTTTAACGAATATAGATTTCCGTTGATACTCACTTGTAAAACGACCGGTCAATAGTGCCGAACTTTCTTATTTCACAGACAACACAATTCACGGTGAACATATTTTCACCGAAATATCTACTGTCATTAATTCATGTGTCTACCAAATATTTGAATGAAAGTGTACGGTGGTGAGGATTGTTGAATTTAATTGAGATAATGAACCGATCAATGTTCAACCACCTTTTAAAATCCTGGAGATACTGTGCAACCGTTTCGTCCTTCTATGAAACGCCTCACCAGTGGCAATCCAGGATCATTCATACGGGACTCAAACACAGGCATTCGTATACTCACAAACGCTTAAACTTTAAACCTTTGGACAGGCATCCGGCAGTGTTCATACCCAACTTCAAACAATCCCACGACATTGAGCGGTTATCTTCAATTGTCTTCGATGAGTGACTGCCTCATACTGACACAGTTGAACTCCACTGGTTGCATGTTCTTGGTAAAATGAATTTTGGCCTGCTTTTATTCAACTTGCCAGATTAATTCATCATTAATTATTGAAATATGTTGATACAATGTATATGGTCAATCGTAACGTGGTTCACCAGTCTGCTGAACCGATTAATGAATTGCATTTTAACACCTTTCATTTAATTGAGCTGATTATCTGACATGTTTTTGTTTACAGTAACCGGAGGTCATCACCTTGGTGTGATAAAATAATTAATACAGAGTCAATTATTCACTGCATTCCCCATGTGAATGCATACGGAATATGCAATTTGATAAAACACAGTTTACCTCTAAAACCAGAGCATATACACTTCGATAGCCTGCCCAAAATAAGGCCTTCGCAACTAAGTAGGTTTGGAGGAACTGACACTTATGCTGATCACTGTCCATATATGTCTGTAAGTACAGTTTTATATAGTTGTACATTTTAATCAATAAACCAAGATTTGGATTCAAAATAAACCAGTTACAATGCAGTGATACATACGTTTTACTTTGCATTCAAACGATTAACAAACGAAACGCAATATTCACTAATCAATGTTAAACAGAATCGATCAAATTAATAAAATATTTATAACAATCAACCCAATACTCGATTTATTCGAAATTATCAAGTCAAACCTTGGTAATGATACCTACAGAATCGATCAAAGTTTGTTTTGAGAAAATTAAATCCTAAAGTGAATAAATCGGTTTGAGTAATCGTTTCTCAAATTCTAAGTTAATAATTGCGAAAAATACGTATTGTTACGGCTGTGGTAATCAACTTGAACTCAGTTCACTTCAGAATACAATACTCAGTTATGTATGAATTCATTGCTGTTTCTAAGTAAATTTAGTGGTCACAGACGACGAAAACTCACATACGAACTTTGACATTATAGACTATTTTACTTTTAAATGGTAATATGTATAAAATCATTCAAGACCAGGATTGCACACGAATATTTTTACATACCAGTCATTTTGTTTAATTTCTAACTACCGCATTGCGTCACATATTCAAAGTTTTCTGATTTACTGATCCAAATATTTCGAATTTTATCTTCAGAAAGTGTTGATCTATGCTGTACGTAAACTGTTTTATGATAAAGATGATTTCAAGTGAAAACTAACATCTGAAACTAAATTCTAATTTTTGAATAGCTACGTGTCATTGGTGTTACAATTAAATGTGTACGCTGAGGTTTCATTGGTATACCATACAAAACACCATGAATAAATATCCTTCACGAAATAGGACGACTCATATGAATAGTTGAATTTGTGTTGATTTATTCCATTCGGCTATTTCAGGGAGAATGTCTCCCGATGCCTAAATGACTCTGTAATCAAGTGATTTGTGAATCTTTTCCAACAATATGGATGGTGGTTGCGATGCCAAGCTGTTTTCTAATTACTGTCACCATTCAGAAAGATCACTTTTAACTGATTGTCCATAGTTTAAACAGTATATGTTTTGACTTCTCAACTAACCACAAAAAAATCAACCACTTCACGATTCTCTAATATCAACGCTAGTAGTTGGGCAGATAGTTATTGGCAACTACTGAAAAATTACTTTCTCAACAGAAAGTAGGAATAAATAGTCGAACACATTTCTAATGTTTGAGTATACAGGTTTAAATTGCGCACTACTATTGTTTAATCATGAAGGTTATATACAGTGATTAGAATAAATCTATTATACACCTGTTTAGATGCCTTATAATTGGTATATCAGGAGGAGATAGTTTTGTGACTGTCATTCATAGACCGTCGAATAATTCAGGTAAGTTTGTTGTTCATTTGTGTTGCAAAAGTAATTTGTAGAATTAGGGTTTAATCCAAACTGAGATTGAAAAAATCTTGCGTATTGTGACTTGGACATCATGACACTTATGCAGAATAAACCAATGCATTTTTGAGTTGTATGGGACTCACTTCAAACAGATTACATTCTTCACAGCCCGAATAACATAGCTTTCTGATTAGGACCACAGTGTTCTAATTGATATTTTATGAACTCAGAGTTATGTGTCATAAGTTTGGATAATAATGATATATATTACATGAAATTGAATCACCTGATTTATTTGTAAAATTCTTGTAGGATGATCAGTAGAATGTACTTTGACACATAATATATTATCATAATTCATTGTCCTGTAAATATTTTCTTCAGATTTTGCACAGTGTTAATAAGAAACCACAGAATTCTCACTGTGGAGATACTAATAATGAGAAGTACCAATGTAAGTTTCCTTTATTCGAACTACTTACAACGAATACACTCAATTATCATCACACTACTTATTACTGTGAAGTAGCGAAGTATACTATGGAACACTATAATTAGACAGTAACATTTATCTAAAAGAAATATACAGC